ATGTTGTGGTCAGTTTGAAAGCTTGCAAAGCCAAAACAAAGATACAGTGCATCTGTGATGTTAAAGGCAGGGTGGATTTTGCTGCACAAGCATGCATTTGTGAGGAAGTGTGGGCGCGAAGGGACGGATGCTGAGTCAACCTCCACATCCCTATTGCCCATCTAGCCGAGCTGGCTGCGCTCACAATGAGCACACTTAATGATTTTCCTGAGGAAAACTTTTACGTTCAAAAAGAACTCTGAGCTTTACACGCGCTGTTGCCACACTGATGACATGTGAGGCTAATGTATTATAATATATGCTGCAGAATATGTTAAGGGACAGAATCACAATGCCAATGTTGCCTTTCCGAGCCCTTCTGGGGTCATTTGGAATTCCAAGGACCAGGGTCCTTCAGAGCACGGTAAGGCTGAGCCAGTCACACACACACACACACACACACACACACACACGCATGCACGCACGCACACATACAGTTCATATATTCCTATCTTTGTGAGGACTCTCTCCATTCATTTCTATGGGCATAACCCTAATCCTAACAATAGCGACCTTAACTCCTACCCCGCCCTAACCTTAACGATTAGTAACTAAGCCATAAGCAAGACTTCTGGCTATTTTACTTTTTTTGTTGCATTCACAGCTTTTTATAAAATTAAGGTTTACATTGTGGGGACCTGTAAAATGCCACCACAGGCTAAAAAGTAACAGGTTTTACTTGTGGTCCCCAGAAATTGGTAAATGCAAACCAACATGCACAAACGTACACACAAAGGTGAAGTGACCCTATTAAAATGAGAGCAGATTTATACATAAGCCATTAAACTTCCTTGTTCAGTTCGCAGCACATTGTCAGGCTGTCGGGGGGGGCCCTCATGCGTGGCACTAAGGAGCTTAGTTGTCATCCTGTTTAGTCATGGGAAACACAATTAACAAATTAGCTGGTTGCTTAAGTGGGACATAGACCTAACGACTCCCATTAGGTCCAGGTCACCTCCATTGTGGCCGGTTTTAAAGCCTGCGCCCCATGTCACACGCCTATGTATGAGGAAAATGAGATAAAGCTACTCTACATTTTTTCAGGCCAAGTTTCATTCACGATTATCTAACTTAGGCCTCTTGAGCGTGGATCTGCAGACATACATATCAGAGGAGGGGCGGGTCCTCCTTGGCTAACATTACCGCTGGCTGTATAAATGGGATTTTTGCCCATGGGAATTTTACTTACATAAAGATGTTCTGAGGGCAGAACAAAAAAATGTTTGGTTCAGAGAGATTAACGATGGAATTGTAGAGGAGGTGGATCCAAGACATTTGATTGGTTGGTCCCACCTCCTCTAGTTGCTTAGACCCACATCCTCCACAATCTGATTGGTTATCTCTCTGAATGATTTTTCATTCTGCCCTCTGAACATTTTGTGTAAGTAAAGCTCCCTCCTCTGTTTATTTTGTGACAGCGAGCAGAAGTCAGAAAAGTCTTCACTGTGGTTGTGTGGAACAAAGCCTGATTGTTTTTGGGTGGGTGATTGTGTCCAGGAGAATGGGACCCAGCATAACAGGTGGCATTTCAAATGGAAAGGAATAAGAGCACCTCTGCTTTGGCACCTTACGAAAGCCCTTAGAAGAGCTTAAAAGGTTCACACAAAACAACACAATGCTATTAACTTACAATCCGTTTGACAGTACATGTGCAGTATTATTGGTACGCAAGATTAAATCCATGTCTTTTTGAGGAGGTGAGTTTCTGTCTTCTGATGACTGTTCAAAGGAGCTAAGCAAAAAAAAGATGGCTGACATTAAGCCGAAAGCACAGCTGCGGTTGCTTAAAACCTTAAAAGTCATTCCATCCTTTTTCCTGGTACCTGCTGCATTTTGATAGGCGTCGGTTCCCTGGTAAGTGGTGAGCTCACAGTGTCAGTGCGGGTCCCTGGTAAGTGGTAAGTGGTGAGCTCACAGTGTCAGTGCGGGTCCCTGGTAAGTGGTAAGTGGTCAGTGTCAGTGTGGGTCCCTGTCCGCACCTAGATGTGGGATCAAGTGCCACAAGCTACAGACGCATGAGGTTAGACAACAGAGCAACTGCTGGTTTTGGGCAGCCACCATGTACTATACCAGAGGGTCTAACTGGCTCAAACTGGCTCTTCCATAGAGCTTGTGGCTGGGGATGGTCAGTCAGAGGCGCTGCCAGAAGGCAGACTATCAGCCAGACGAAGAAACCAAATGAGTGACCTTCCTGTGATATGGTGGCATGTGAAAGGACCCACTGTGACCCCAATACGCTGATCGAGTCACGTCACAATCTATATATAGACATTACATAAGTTCATAAATGGAAACACTGTTTTTCTTATCCAGATTGTAGCTTTCTTAATTTTAATCTCTTTACTTAGACAATAATGTACTTACGGTAATTTACTTTTATGTACGTGCGAAAGGGCCGCGTATGAGGTGACAACCTAATCCTTGTCAGGAGGAGACATGATGAGCTACTTCAGAATTTACAAACTACTCTAAAACTGAAAGGCTCCTCTGCTTGGCTAATTAGTTCAGTTTTTCTTGTGCTTTTACTGGTCTGTTTCCTTGATTGAAAGACTCATCCAGCTGATTCACATTAACATTAGTGACACATGCATGATTATAGGAGACTGACCAATCAGCAGATAGCAAGAACTCAGCGCTCAAGTGAAGTCCAGGTCCTTTTAATTAAAATGGTAGTTTACAGATCCTGTCCTAGCTCATAGTGTCCCCCCAACATGGATTAAGTGGTCACCCTAGCCATAGAACATGTTTTGAAATTGAACAAAAGTCATCAATAGGTTACAATGTTTATTTTATGAGGTATATAATATCAAAGGAAAAACAGCAATGTAAATTATTGACAGGAATCATTTTGGCACTATATCACAAGCAGCATAGTGACACCATGGCAGTTTTGCAGACAGGCACGTTTGGTGTTTTTTTTTTCATTTATTTTTTGCAACGTTCTGCCAAGTCATGGCTTAGGGGAGCTTCTGGCCGGGCGTGCTGAGGGCCAGCAGACAGCCGGCTGCTCGTGATAAACACCTCTCCTCTCTCTGCCTCCTGACGGCTCTCACACACAGCCTGCAGGGGAAGAGCGCTCAGCTCACGCCGGGGACGGAACAGCCACGCACAAAGACGTCAGTCGATAAATAATACAGTGAACAAAATTCCCAAATCGCTCACAAATCCTGGATGTGAACAGTAGAAGCTACATTCCCAAAGACACCGAACATCATCACTCGAAGTGCAGCGTCGTGGTTAACAGAGGGATCTGAAGTCTCTGACTGACCCTTCACTGGGTCATACTCATTTACTGGAAGCACATGAAGAGGAATTTACTTTAAATCAAATGATTTTGGTTTCTCTCGTGTCAAAAATGAAAGCATGACAACTGATGTTCCGAATCTTGCTAAGTCCACAGGATACATTTTGGAAATTTAACAAAAGTTCTTCATAGGAGGTCATGAGGACTGAGTGAGTTTTGGTTCCCAGTACTGTAACGTATGAGGAAGCCTGACTTTAGGTCATTAACGGTCTCATCTCAAAAACAACTAAAAATGGACTGAGTGGGTTTGGAAATTTTGCTCTTCAATTGCCATGTGGACATATTCACATACAGCTTGATACCAGATGTATTAAATTCACCCACCTGAATAATTTTAATTCAGCTCTTATGAATGTCAAAAATATTAGCCACTGTGTGAAAAGCAGGTATCAGAGGAAGTGGAGACTCTGAGGTCCAAAGAAGGTTTGAGTCAAAAGGCACCTGAGTGTGATATGAATAAGCAAAGGAAGCCAGTGGGAACTGCTTTGGTAAACAACCGAGTCATATTTAAATCAGCAAAAACTGTAAAGTCTAATGCTAAGATAACTGGCATAAATCATTTAAACAAACAAAACACAGCATATACTGTATAGCAGGAAATTCTGTCCAAGACATCATGAGTTACCTGAATCTTGAAAGCTCTCTATTGAACATACAGTTCACCATCAAACAGATCATTCAGGTTTGGATATCCCTGTCCCGCAAAATCAGTAGCTGTAACTATGAGACATTTGTGAGGTTAGGTTCCAGAACACGTACTGTAAGGAGGATTCACGGATGCTTGGTCGAGTCACTAAAAATGGTAATATGTGCTTATTTCTATAGTTTAAACCCTAAATTTGACCCCTGTCATGCTTCCAAAACACTTTAATTTAATTTAAAAGTTAGCTTAATACATTACCTTTCAAAAAAATGTTTGATGTAAAAATAGAGTACAGTAACGGATATATGTCACACTAGCACATTTACAGTACAGTATACTGTTACCCCTACTAATTCATAGAACACGGCATTGGCTGCCATTTTCTTTTGCATTCACAGTAAGGTAAAATGAGTAAACAAATGGTACTGTAATCTTATTGACAGGAGTCATATACGTAACCAAGGTACGATTAAATAAAATACGTAAAGGAAACATGTACTGTATGTACAGGGTACAGGTATTCAATCAATTAAAAATTACGTAAAGACGTACAGAAATAATAAGTTGTAAAAATACTATGTGTGCACACTAACCATGAAAAAGAGAGAGAACAAAAATACCTACACACATTAAAAATATTTAATAAAAAAACAGTAGAATGAAATTTTCACGGATATGTGAATTTGCGAATCATGAAGCGCAAATGCACGAGGGTTGACTGTAATAATGAATGAATGAATGAATCCATCCATCCGACCGTCCCTCCATCCAGCCGCTTATCCTGATCAGGGTGATGGGAAGGCCTGGAGTTCTATCCCACTCTGTACAGGGAGGCATGCTGGGATACCGCCTGGAAGGGATGCCAGTCCATCACAGGGAACATGGACGCACACAGAATCCTGCGCTATGGGCAGATTTAGAGACACCAGTTAGCCTGAAAGCATCTTTTTGGGCTGCAGGAGGAAGCCAGAGTATGTGGAGGAAGATCACAAAACACAGGAATGACATGCTTGGTGCAGTAAATAAAGTTTACTTTTTATTTCATGAAATTTCTGGGCAAGCAGTTTCCAACTGCTTTAACATAAGTACCCAAACCTGTGTGAATTTAAACCTGTTAGAATATGAATTTCAGTTAAATACACAAAAGGCAAAGTTAAGGCAATTACATCCAAATTTCTGGTTGCTGACCAGACAACCCAGCTTCAATAGCAACCTTTATCTATGACAGAATCTAAGATTATCACCACACACCACACCAATGCATATTACTGAATAAATTGGTTTCTTTACCATCATCTTCAAACGTAGAGGAAATGCAATAACAAAGAGTATTTAGTGAATCTTTGACTAATACTAAATTTGATCAGAAAATGGTGAATGTCTTTTTTAGTATATACTATATGGCTAAAAGTATGTGGACACCCCTATTAATTAGAGGAACTGCATAAATAAGCCAAACCCATTGCTGACACAGATGTATAATTAAGCACACAGTCATGCAATATCATGCAACTTCAGCAGCAGAAGAGGTGGTTGGATAAAAGATGCTAGCGATGTTCCACTTGGCACTATCGCAGGACGCTGTCTTTCCAATAAGTCACTTTGCCACATTTCTGCCCTGCTAGAGTTGCCCTGGTCAACCATAAGTGAGGTGATTGAGAAGGCCAAAACGTCTGGGAGCACGTTCAGTTGCAAAGGTTCATGGCCAAACAAGCTTACAGAAAGGGACCTGATCACCCAACATCAATAGTCAATCTGAATGGCAGCAGATCCCACCGGCAATGTTACAACATCCAATGGACAGCCTTCCCAGAAGTATAGAAACTATTATAGCAACAATGGGGAGACAAATTCATATTAATAGCCTTGGTTTCGGAATGACACGCTGGTGTCCATACTTTTGGCCATACGTTGTACAGCTCACGCACACAATGGTCCTTTTTAATAATGGATTCTTCCATTTGGTGATTCAAATGAGTATGCTGCAATAGCCCCCAATGTACTGTCAAATGCCCGCACTGGTCCCACACTGGGTTTTGTGAAAACATATAGGCCTAATGCAATATGCTCTGCACCAAGGCACATAAACCAGCCTTTGAGACAACACTGCCATCCCCAATGAGGTAAATTCACACCAACATTATCACTACTTTGCAGAAAAAAATGTGACAGCAGATTCATCCTGTTGCCCTGGAAGACTTGTGCTGCTCCTCTGGAGACGGGCATCCGGGGAGGGCTCTTGCTGCTGGCCAGCGGGGCATAGCGGCTGGAGCCCCGGGCCAGCGGCCTCTGGGGGCTGCTCTCCAATGAGCAAAGTCACAGAGTAGCTGGAACTGCCCACAGACGGTCCACAGGAAGGGGCAACAGGTGTGATCTTCTGATAGGTGGCTGAAAGAAACAGGGCGCTCTGATTGGCTGTGATTCGTGACACAGCAACACAACAGTGGAACCAGAAACCACAGTGCCAACAAAAAATCAGGTGAGCCAGTCCCGTAACAACTCCTTTGGTGAAAAAGTCACACTACAGACTGCACTGCATATTATTTTATCAGTTTTTAAATGACCCATGGGTGTGACATTACTAAGACCAAATGAACAAAGAGGAAGAAAATTTCCATCTCAATAGTACATTTCCTCTGACTGATCTAACCACGCACACAAATTCCTGTCAGACACAATCAGTTTATCGTGCTGAATCGCTCGTGGTGAACGCTGAATGGGGGTTGCCTGAGTTCCATCCGGGTGGAGCCCAGAACCATCCGGGCCCACCCCTGTTGCCACGGCTACTGCATGAATACAGTATAATTAATCTATAAGCCTTGGTTTAATAGTAAAGGGATATGATACAAACATGGAAGATACAATCGTATCTCTTTATCCGACACAAACTATTATGTAGGTATAATCCACCAATTGGTGCACATCAGACTGCTAAATGACAGGGCGATGCTTCAGCGTGCAACGTTGCTCTCCAGAGGACTTCTGTCGTAAAACCCACCGCACGACCGGAGGGATGCATTTTATCTATATTAAACCATATCGTTCGCCCTAATTCATCACTAAGTGCTCTCCTGTAAACCTGATACATTCACCGCTAGTTCTGGTAGCAATGCAGCATCCACCAGTTATTAAAAATAAATGGCTGCTTTTTGGAGAACAATTTTCCTGTACGTCATGTCTGGAGCGTTGCTTTAATAGCGACTCCCGACGACGTGAGATTCCATTAACAACCTGTCTCCTCATTAGAAAAAGCGCAAGTGTCAGGATAATAACAGTAATGTTTTATAGGGCTTTTTGCTGAATATCTCCCAGCTGGATATATCAGACTCTCATCACAGCGAGTGGCAAGGAGGAGGCACTGCAGGGGGCCCCCCAGGGGAAGCCCTGAAGACAGCGGCGGCCTTGATGGGGGATAATGGGTAAAGTAGAGTAGAAGCCTGCTGTGCGTGAGGTGCTTATGCTGCGGTAAACTGTACACAAGTGGGCTACAGCAGGGTGAAGGGGATCTGCACAGGGGTTGGGGGGCGGGTTAAGCCTCGGTACTTGCGACTGGAAGGTCATCGGTTTGAATCCTGTCCTCGGCAGAATAGTCACACACGTGTTAGGCCCTTGAACAAGACCCTTAATCCTAAAAGCAAAATATGTATGGGTATGTCTCAAAGCAGAGAAGACGGGGATGAAGAAGCATTCCAGTGGCAAATAAAAGCAGCATCGAGGGAAAGGCTCCTAGGAAAGGAATGGTCATTGTTTGTGACGGGGAGGCAGAGACTGGGATACCTGAGGTAAAGCAGTGTGACGGGCACAAGCTGGCGGGGCAGCCTGGGCTGGAAGAGAGGTAGGAGTGAGCCGGCCCAGGGTGCGAATCCCCAGTCGAGGAATGGCACTGGTCTGAAGAAGGAGACACATAAAACTGGCATTGGGGTGAGGAAGTGGACATCCTCCAACGAACAGCGCCAAAGCCGAAGACGGTGACCACAGCGATCAGACTCACCTGCTGGCCAGAAAAGGAACTGCACATTTTAGTAGCTGAATTGTTCTGTATTTTTCCATAGCACAAAGATACCAGTGCATTTTATTGCATTAATTATATGCCGAGGTTTGAAACTTCAAACTACCTGCTGCAGAAACAGGCTGGAAAGTCTTATCCGCTTCAAATAAGGCGTGAAAACCATTAATGCTGATGACATCACTCACCGGTGCTTCCTGCGTCTGAACGTGAGGCCGGGGCCGTCATGTCCCCACAATCCCACTGCGGCTTCAGAGGCTTCTCGCTTGCTGAGACACCAAACTCTCCGGCGCTGGCATGGCATGATCCATTGTGTTTAGTGGAAGAGGAAATGCCATCGGGCCCAGGGACGCAGTGGCATGTGGTTTGGCTGCTAGGGGTGGGTTCCCTGGGAAACAGGTGGCTGAGTTATTGTGGGCCAACAGAAAGATTTGCAAAAGGCTTTAAATCATCTTTATATACCGATACAGAAACTGCCATTAGTGCTATTGTCTCCTCTAGTATTGCTTTATCCTTTTGAATTGATGCCATAATAAAAGTCTTCCTTGCAGCAACAAAAAAATACAGTGCTTCTCCCCTCTAGTGGACATATCATGAAGTACAAGAATTATTGTAGTTATAATGCAGGTGAGGAGGATATTACTTGCAACTAGATAATAAAAAATAAGTATTTTATGTTGCTTATTAGATACCCAATTTCTTTCTACGCATAATTTAAAATCACCCAGGTTAATTCACTGAACGATTAAACAAAAAAGGATCAATGACTGATTAAATATAAGGCCACTCTACATTTAACGCTCCATAATATTTTATGAAAGCATAATTAGAGAATGTGTACACTAATCAGTCTGGTATTACAGCTAGTTCCTCTTTTAGTAAATAATCACGTGCTTGGGCAGAATATTTGCAAATGAATAAAGATGAGTTACGTCACACAGGAGAAAGGTAAAGGTTTTGTTTATGTGTGTTTGTGCGTGTGTATCCTCTGTAAAGTGAAGTGTGTGTGGCGGCATTTCTTACATGAAGAGGGAGAGGTCCGTTGCAAATGATGAAGGGGAATTCTGAGTTTTCTTCAGACCTGGTAATGTTACACACATGCATGCACAAAAACATCAAAACATGCACATATCTGCAAACACACGCAGCAACTTTGAACGAAAATGATCAAGATAGTGAACAGAACCTGAAATGCAAAGAAGCAGCTGCATAACAAAGGCACATAAGCCACGGCCAGTGACTCTTAAATAAGCCACATTAGAACAGAATGAATCCCGCAAGACAGTGGGACTGCACAAACTCAGCACCTTTTGCTGAATTAGCCTGGATCTTCAGCATCCATTTCCTCATCAAAAACGGTGAAGAGGCACTGAGGAGGTATTTGGACCCATTTCCCAGCCTACACACATAAAGGAGGAGAAACATTAACATGTAATACCATGCTAAGGCATTAAAGACAAGATCTTCACTGTAGATACCACGGATGGTGATTAATATCCAGGGAAACTTTTTTAACATTTTGATATTATTCAGTAAAAAAGATTTATAGCAGACTGCATTTAAGTGGATGCATCCTGTATTTATTATAACTATGTGTGATTAAAAGATGAGTCTTTTATGAGATGTTTTTATGCTCACCTCAAACAGAAAGAGTTTGCTCTCTCTGTGCACTCAGGGCAAGTGCTGCACTCAGCATCGGTGAGGTCAAGGGTCAGCTCAGGCGCTGAGATCTGAATGTAGAGCAGGGATGTGTCAATGAAACATTTGAACTAGGCATGGACGTATGTTACTGTACACGTAATAGTACTGCATATGAGTATTTGGTAATATTTTACTTTAGAGGGCACAAATAATGTAGTAATACACTCTTAATGCATTAATTAACCAGCAACTAAGTGCTAGTTATGTACTGGTACCATGTTTATTCATCATTAATCAATCATAATGCTTCATGTATTTCATGCAGTTAGTATATTGTTCATGGTTTGTACTTGAGTAGTAACTGAGTTACTAAGTTACTTGTTCCCCCACAAGTAAAATGTTACCAAGAATTCTGTAGTAACAAAATGTCTACATACGAAATATTTATTGGCTTAGCTAGTACAGAATACAAAGGAAATAGCTGAATCTAAAATAAAAAACAATATATCTTGCCTACAATTTAACTGGATATATTGTTTTTGCTATTTATTCCTCCAGTACTAGCTGGATTTTAGCAAATAATTCAGCAAAGAATATGAAAAACATTAAAAAGATCAGCTGCGAGCAGTTATATTCCTGCGGGCGGGCCAAGATTTCAATTAAAAGTAATTAAAAGTAATGATCCCAGTGTGGGTCTGCTTTACTGGCCAGTTAGAAAGTGGTTAAAACCAAAAAACTACTGTGACCAGATTTTCGATGGAACAATCTGCCAAGCAGCAACAATAGGGAAAACAACACAGCGGTAGTCTTGGTTACCTCCGGAATGTCCTTTTTGTGCCGGTAAAAATACAGCGACTCTTTCAGCAGCAGGGTGTGGAAAGTGGTCCAGGTGGCCTTTAAGTATGAAACCATGTCAATGACATGCAGTAGAGAAGGCAAACTGTGCTTGCTTTGTTTTGTTGTGCCAGGATCTGCCCTGATGGTCTGCTTTTCTATGACCATGTTTTTCATTAAACATCATGAACGCGGGAAAAACACTGAGCCCTTCTCTCTACCAAGAGGGTCAGAGAGTGCTCTCAAATGCATCATTTTGAAGAGGAGCTCTGCATAAACACTGTGTTATCACACAGTCCAGCTGTGTTGGCCTTACAGAAAAGTGTTCTGCCTAGGATTTTTATAAATTGTCTTCTTTGCAAAAGCTTTAGAGCTTATCTTGCTCCGGGTCACAGGTTTTATTAAATAATGTAAAGGCAATATTATTAATTCTTAAATACTTATGGCAACCATACCTATTTTGATTTTCGTATGTATATTTCTCCTTTATATAGCTATCTGAATAATCAAAGCCCAGAAATCAAGAGAGAGGCTAATATTTCTAAACATGAAATTCTATTCCCTTTTATATTTCGATTGCAACTGATCTGAATTTTTTCAAATCTGGTACTGGGATTCTACACTGTTATATTAGTTAGTGTCTGGGTTCCTGACTATGAAGGGAAAACGGATTAATCCAAGCCAGTATGTCCTCGTCGCTGCTTAGCATATTGCCGTATTCCTCTTGCTACATGAATGCCATTTCCATTTAAAGTGTTTGGGATGTAACAGATGGAAATACTCAGGAAATAGTATTTTACACTGGAAATAGTAAGGCTATTGAATATGAAACCTTAACTGTCTCAAAGCAAACATCACGATTATCACAACCATCCCAATATCACAACTATTCCCCACCTTTCCTGCAGTCTCTGAGTGACGCATGATTTCCAGAACCCCATCCATTGAATGGACCTCCTCATTCTGGAGAAGGTACACATGCAAAAATCCACAAACACTGAGTCAGTTTGTAAATATTGCTTTTCATTGCATACATGCAGGAGCCATTATTACACAGGACCTCAGTGTGGTACTGATAGTATTGAGGCAACACTCCAAATGACATACCCTGAGCTCCATATTCATTATATTAGACAGACAGACAGACAGACAGACAGACAGATAGATAGATAGATAGATAGATAGATAGATAGATAGATAGATAGATAGATAGATAATCAGTAAATATAGTTATATAAAACCATGTTGGCAACTACAATCTAAATTATTATCAAGTTACAAATTAAAACCACAGTAAGAAAGTCAAGAACATTGCATTTTTATAACTTAAAAATATTGTGTAAATCACAATCTGGGTTTTGCAATAAAGTGTGGGATTATTTCTAAACCTTAAATGTACTAAAAGTATCTTTGTTTATTATTGGAATTCTAGGTATATGGAGAACTTACTTCCTCTCCAAGAAATGGCACAGTAATCCTGAAACACATAGCCTCTCTTTGTGCAAGACTTTATGGTCTTATAATGAAAATAAACTTCTGAAATATTTGTACTCAGATCATATACCAAGAATGCCCTCTACTGGTGAGTGAATGTACTGCTTTGGCCTGATATTGTTTCTACAAGAGGAAGTCCAGTCCTCTGAACAGATGTGAATGAACAGCAGGCTCACTGGTTGGTCCTGTTGAGAATTTATTTATTTATTCTTACTACATTTTTTAAAGGAATTTTTATGGATGATGTTTCAGTGTTCTGCATACACATGACATGAGATAAAAACATATATTCAGATATTACAAATACAGACAGTTGAACTGCTGAAACCTATAAATTCATAAGTGACTGGAATACCTTACCATTGAAGAGGAGCTATTGTTGTTGATTTTATTTTCTCCTATGGCTTCTTCCGTCTTCCATGAAGTATTATGGCAGTCTGTACTGGGAGATGTTCCTAGACTGAAAGCTGTCTGGTTTGTCAGTGTTGTGTGTTGTCTCTGCTGCTCTTTTAAGGGAGGACTTTGCCAGGATGCCTCTTCTCTCTGCCTGAGGTTTCCCTGCCCTGGGTTCTGCTCTTTGTTGTAGCCCAGACGGTTCTGTATAGAGGCTGGCAGCTTAAACTCTGCCACCAGGAGGTTGTGTGTGGACACAGTAACCGGTTTCCTGCAAAGCTCGTCCTGGTCTGGGGGGGCGGGCTTTCTTGACTGTGTGGTAGGAACGGGGGCCAGCTTTTCATGGACACCCTGGCAGGTTTTGTAGCCATTGATTCGGTTCCAGATGTCCTTTAGCTCCGCCTCTTCCTCTTCGAACTGTCCATGATCTGGATGAATGGTGCCCAGCACACCATTTCCCGATTCAGAGGAATTGCAATTGTCTTTTTTACGAACAGTAGTGACTTCCCTTTCCAGTGATCCCACTACCTCTCCTGTTTCCTTTGGAACAGGACCACCTACAACTTTTCCAGCAGTGAACTTTACATGTTGGCCAAAGTCAGCTAAATCCTCCTTCTTGGTGGTAGACGTCTTGAGCGACATCGAAGCAGGTGAGCTAGCAGTTAAGCTAGTGGCTGAGCAGCCCACCTGACCTCTTAGCCACATAGCAGGCGAATGGTATATATGTCCGTTCAGGTCCCGGATTTTGGTGTGAACACTTGGACATACGTGATTCACTTTGAATAAGTTTGACGTGTGCCCAAGGGCTTTGCTGTTACACTGGTTATCCTGATTTTGTAGATGGGTACTTTGACTGTTACTGTTTAGCTTTGCGCTAGAGAGTGCCAAGGGCAAAGATTTGTGCCTGTTTTGGTTTGCTTCCTCAAACGGACTATTAAAGCCTGAGAGACGACCGAGTTTGTCTGATGTGTCACTCTGTGAAGTGCAGCAGAGATGGTCCTGGGTAGTGTGTTCTTTTTCAGGTAGGGGTCCACATGGGGGTAGACCTGAAGCAAGGTTCAAATCACAATTTTGTGACTCTGGACCTTGACACAAGTCTTTTTTGCAGGGCATTTGCTTTTGTTTGCTGATTTTGTCAGATTTGGATTTTTCTCTTTTGTGCTCTGATGGTGAGTGTAACATTTCGAAAGTGCTTAATCCTTTGTGTCTGTCTGTATTCAAATTCTGGCCCAGGTTGTTACTGAAGATGTTCTTGCCATTTGTCTCTGGCTGGTCTATGTTGATGACAGCTGGAATGCTGGGAATGTGGCCCAAGTCCTTTGGAAGGTCAAAGCTCAAAGTTGAGCCAAGAGGGAGATATTTGTATTGATTCTTGTCGCTGGCGATTTTTCCATTTGATCCAAAACAATCCCCTTTATGCTTTGTAACAATTTCCTTTGCGACTGGGTTTTTGAGATAGGACAAACAATCTGTGTTAGCAAGCCTAGCTTTTGGTATTTTCTTTTTCCATGTATCAAGTGGCCAGGTATGGCTGCTATAGAGGGGCCAACTGTGAACTAGATCCAGGTCTTCTGGATCCACTCCCATCATACTCTGGATGGTGTGTCTTTGTGATCTCTTTTTCCTCTTCTCACTCGTGCTCTTCAAGGTGCTGAAGGTGGAGCTGGAAGCACACCTAGTTGTATCTTGGAAGGGTGTGATGCTTACTTCCTGGGAGCAGGTGGTGGCAGAAGGGCAGATGGATACCTGGGCTTTGCTAACGATGTGGGTCGGAGGGCCAGTCCCAAGCAGAAGATCTGAAGCTTGCTTCTCCTTAACATGCAAATAGGCACTCACCTAGTGAGAAGATAAGACATCACATAGTCTATGATCTGCAATGCATGCATCAAATGTAGAAGGTACCTGCATAACTCAAAGATGGCCTGAGTGCAACAGCCAGCCTCATTAACTAGATTAATGAACTAAACTAATGCAAATTCCTGTGTTCCTTGGGAAATGGACTGCAGGATGTAAATTGACGTCACACATGATAGCAAGTTGAGAGCTTGTGTGCTGCTAAGACTAAACAAATGATAATCAATTATTTAGTACCCATGCAAACTAAATGTTACTTCTGCTTTGTTATGAATCAGCAATAAACCCTCATACCACACACTCAAGGCCATGTATAACTACACTCATGCTCTCCTCAGGACTTGATCAATATCACATGGTGTTAAAAGAGCTCATACACAGCTGCAATGGTTTGACCTATGACTTGCTTGACTAATCCTATGCTGCCACATTCATAAATCATATTCAGTGATGTGGGGCCCTCTGAATGTCTTGCTGCACATTCCTCAGCTAATAGTCACATTGCGTCTGGCCTCTGTCCTGCTGGGAAGCAGTTCAAAGTGAACTTCATGGGAACTCAAGCAGGAGGTCATACCATACAGGACAATCCAGCAAAACATGGAGGCTAACACATGCCAGTTGTTGTAGGGCACGTATGGGACATAAGTAATGTCATCAAGCAGGTACGGGACAATCAAAGCCCTGTCAGATTCCACTGCGCTTGTCTTCTAGACCAGTGTTTCCCAGTCGGGTCCTCAGAGATCCCCAGACAGTCCACATTTTTGCTCCTACCTGGAGCAGGGAGGGAGCAATAATGTGGGCTGCTGGGGGTCCCCGAGAACCAGATTGGGAAACACTGTTCAGGACAACTAGAGCTATGGTTAAAAGCCCAGGTCTTGACCTGCTGTTCTGAACAATTTCAGTCAGCCTATTCTGAAAAAAAATACTGTGATGTCTACTCTCAGTTAAAGCAGATTGAAATAATTTCAAATGCATTGTTTCCTTGCTATGAAATAGTGATCCGGAAAGTTGTGCACATAAAAGCGAACACATCACTGTTGTCAACACTGACCATAGTTGCTCTACAAATGTAGAACCCAAACAATTGTGCATAACATAAAACATCCAAGAACAAACCAACATCCAAAGTCTGTAGGGGCCAAGCCTGTAATTCGAGCAATTCAGCCTGTTCGCATATTCACACTCCTTATGGTCGGCGAAGTGCACTTTTTCCCTTGAGTGCCTCCGGCACACAACAACAAACAACAGATTATTTGTGTTTGTGTGAGCGCCCACTTAACCGAATTACTGTAGGTAGTTTCTCAGCAATTTGAGTCATTTGTTTGAATTGTCGCTGCAAAATAGGAGCATCACACATTCAAATCTGATTGAAAGTTTTTTAGTACCATGAAAATAAAAAACACTGATTTTGTCCTTTCCCACACAAAGAAACAACATTCTATTTGAATTAGGCAAGACGACTTCCATCCTCCAACCAGAATACACAAAATGCGCCACATGAAACCATTTCAAAAACATTTTTATGCTTAAAGATAATTTTATTAGGTTAAAATGGAGCAGACCGCCAACTTCTCACGTTCTTTCCGAATTACCTTGTATGGGTCTTTAATGATTCAAAGAAAATCCTAGAGAATTACGAAAACACTTCACTACAAATTGCATTTGTACACTGGACTCAAGAACCATACCTGACAATTCTCACCTATCATATTATCCATCCAGAATTAACAAAGTGTTAACTTCCAAAAAAGCAACTTCTAAATCTAATACAAAAAGCAAACTGCATGAAAAATAAACACGTACGTAATTCCAGCCTGGAGGAGAGATGCATCTGGGGATGTAGTATAATATTTTCTGAAGGTATTTACACTGATCGAAGCTAAATTATTGGAAAAGAGGCTGACATGCGTAAACCGACACGTGTGGAAAATTAATGTTTGCTTTTTCCCTTAGTTGCGGTCGTTACTGGCATGAGAGACAAAGTAATCTGTATATTACACTCTTCTGTCACTAATGCTAATATTATACTCACAAATTGCATTCGCCTCAGCACAATTGATGGACAACTGGTTTGTTTCCAATACTCTTTGTGCTCTCGTGTAGCTAATCTCTGTTTGCATGCTGTGTAATGTCCCTTGGGGTACGCATGCCTGGATTACGAATTTACAGATAACGTAATTTAAGCCGTGCAGATCGCGCCGGAGCGCGGCGCTTACGGCTCAGTGCAGAGGTGCTGAGTTAAGCGGCGCCGCTTCTCGGCGGAGGAACAGCCGAGCGTGTTCTCAAGCGCTTGGCATTCGTCGCCACCTGTTACCTCTTTAGCGCTCTGAAAATAAATCCTTCTCTTTCTCTACCAAAATTATTTTTCCAAAAAGCCCCCGGCGGGACCTCGGGGAGCTTCTCTTTCTTCTTTTTTTAAACTACAAAGAGGAAAAACTCAGCTGGCTGGGTAATAAGATGAAAATACATGTGAAAGATGACTACAAAAGCAGCAGATAGAAACGTTATTCCCTGTAAGGGAAAATCAGTTTTTTTCCTTTGCAGCTATTGTCAGAGTTACTGTAGTGAAATAAACACAAAACAGGCAGCGTAGGAGTAAGGTACCCTGTGCTTGTGTTCGGAGGCAGCCACTTCCTCTGGGACGTCATGCACCTGCAGCTGGCCTCCCCCTGACTCCCCAAATCTGAGGACCAAGTTCACGGTGCCACCCAGAGAGGGAGCTGCGGGTTCAGTCAGGACAAAGACAGGAGACTTGGACGTCTCTCTCTGGAGAGGGCTTGTATTTGGTGACTCCTGGATGGCGGGCTCAGGTATGAACTCAGGCTCAGAACACGGTTTATTCAACCCATCATCACAGCTGTCGGCTCCCAGAAGAACATGACAGCCACCGGAGGGATGTGAAGACACGGACTTCTCTGATGTAGGCAGGGGCTCTGACTGAATTGGCTGTTAAAAAAAAGACTTACAAGGTAAACCTATCTTTGACTATATACAGTATATTTTCAGCTAAAGGAAACCAAGCATCTCAGCTCACACATCAACATGAATCATATTTTACAGTAATTCAGTTCATACTAAGTAAAGAACAGTTCTAGATATGTTCTAGGATTTGAGTGTAGTCCAAAATTTACAAAACTCACAGATTCCATTTTTTGTTGTTTTTGAGATGAGACCGCCAGTGATCTAAAGTCAGGCCTCCTCATCATATGTTATAATGCTGGGAACCAAAACTCACTCAGTACTCATGGAAATTGTATCTAAAAATGATCCATCCATCCATTTTCTGTACCCACCTGTCCTATTTAGGGTTGCAGGGGGTCCAGATTCTGTTCTAGAATCTACATGTGCAAGGCAGGGAACAACCCAGGATGGGACACCATCTCATCACATGGCACACTCACACACCATTCACTCACACACCATTCACTCACACACC